ACCTCGTTTTTTGTTTGCTTTGAAGAAGTTCATACGTGCTTACTACCCCAAGCATTAGCTAGCAGAGAGAATGAAGACCGCACAGGGCGGCCATCGCACGACCCACAGCCCGATGGTGTCAGCCCTTCGCTGGTGTTGAATTACATTTCCCATGTCCATGTCTTTATTCTGCTCCATGCCGACATCGCACACTACACTCATCCTCTGTCACGAGTATCAAAACAGCGTTCCACTGCTACTCATAACGTCTTTATGTTCAGTGGCCATTTTTTTCCAAGGTGGGCCTCCTTCCTAATTTGTCTTCATCTTGAAGCCCCGCTAAAACCTGTTCATCGGGGTGACCATGCCGGTATTTGAACTATTAGTGGCACAATGTCCAGGGTCACAGCAGCTTACAAGCCACCACAGTACAACACACCAACTGGTGAGTGGTTGAAATGTAATGTCTCACATCGTCGAGTGTGTAGGTTTTCTCTCACTGTCTTGTAGTGTTTGCAGTGCCATGAATCACCTTTTCATGTAGATTGGAGTGCCTCTTCATGGAATTGTTTTCCCTTCTATTATTGGTTATTCCCATGTGGATACCATACTTCAGATAATGGTAGAGGTGCCATGTTTGACATCCTCTGGCTACCCAGGGAGGAGAATCTAACTCCATATCTGGCCAAAGGTCAGATATACCTCTAACCTTTATCTTATTCTGACACCAACTGTCCCTCCTAAGGCACCCTACTTAACTGCTGGGCTTGAGCATTGATTGCAGTGGCCACACAGAAATCACAGACAGTGCTTGAGATAATGGCGTTTATGAGGGGATCTAACACGTTACAAAATATTAGGATATAATTCTTTTGTCCACAGCATTTCTTCTCAGCCATGCCATAGGCATGTCAAATTGGTCTTTAGCCTCTCAGGCATAGTCAGTCCCTTGGCCAGTCCAGATAAAGTCCATAAGCCTTATATTAACCCATTTGTCTGATACTAGTCCATTAATTCTTTTTTAGACTCACAAAGTACATGCAATGATGCTGAATACAGGAATGTATAGAGTTGGATGTATGTTGAAATACAATAACTTCACATTTTGACAATTTTGCTTAATAAAGTTTTCTATAATTTTGTTGTACTACTTTTTTAACTTATCCTCCCCTTGTGTTATCCAAATGCCTTCTTCCCATGGTTTTCATGAGAAATCTTTAAATTGCTTTTGGTTTTGTGAGTTTAAATGTGATTTCTTTGCAGTCTTCTTTTGGGTTCACTGAGCTTCTTGAATGCTTACATTCTTGTGCTTCATGATATTGGATAAATTTTCTTCCAACGAATCTTTGACAATTTTCTCAGTGTTTTTCTGTTTCTTCCTATTCTAGAATTCTTACCAGATACAAGTTATTCCTATGATGGTGTCCTGAATTATCCTTAGGCTTTCTTCAGTTTTTTTCATTCTTTTTTTTCTGATAGTTTTTCTAATATTGGTATTAATATTTCTTACCAATCCTGTCTTCCATTGATTCATTATACTTCTTTGTCTGCTTATGCATTATCTATTTCTGTAATTGTGATATTAATAATCTCAGTTTTAGTTTGCTCGTTTTTGTATGGTTTTCCATTTATTTTAATTTGCTCTCTTATTGATTTTTTGAAATGTAGGTTTTTGTTAGTTTCCTTTGATTTTATCTTTGTTTTCCTCAAACTTTGTCTCAATTCATTGAAGGCACTTGAAATACAATTACTTTGAATTATCAGGCAGTTCTAGTAGCATTTCTTCCACCAGATTTTCTTGCCCTCTGTTTTGGTCACTTATTTGATCCTTCTTGTCTTGTTTTATATATGTGTGTGTGAGCTGAAGGTTCTCTGTTGTTTCTGAGGCATTGTAAAGTTATTGTATTAATTTGTTGAGTATGTATTGATTTGCTTCACCTTGATTTTTTTTTTCATCATTGGAGTGCTCATCACCTTTCTACAGGTGGATTGGGTAGTTGATTGTGCAGAGCCTATGAAGTCAGGTTAGGCGGGTGCTGACCACTATCATTAGTCCATTGGTGTTGGAGCAGATAGTGGCACTTCCAGTGAGCAGGGAACAGATGTAGTGGGTATGACTGCTCCTGATTGCTAGGGAATGATGGAGGAGGGGGGTGGGGTGGAAAAGGAAGGAAACATTAATAAGTGGGGGAGATGAGACCTAAGAAGAAAGGGAAGAAGAGAGGACAAAAGAGGTCTGTAGTGTTGCTAACTCCTGAACATGGCTGTGGCAAAACTGGTGCTTGCTCCACTGAGACATGCATCACCAAATGCATAGTGCCAGGAATGGGTGTTAGTGAGCATGGAGGTGGCAGTACATGGAGCACCAGCTCAGCCAGATCAAAAAAGTGGTCGGGGTGTGGGGAGATCAAAGGCAAAAAACAGGGATTCAGAGGCTGGGGAATTGCTGGAAGCAAAAACACTAACACAAATGTTAGTTATCAAATACAACTGCAGTGGGTATGTATAGCTCACTGTGGGGGCATGAATAAAGGGGTTGGGAGTGAGGCTGCTCAATACAAGGCAGTGGTTGCATGCCTCCTACAATTGGAAGGAAACAATGGGAGGCTAGAGGAAGAGGAAAGGAAAACAGGAGAGAAAAACAAGGTTCAGAAAGCGGGGGAGAATGAAGAAGGAAAACGGATATTTAAAAAAACCCACAAAACCCTACTGATGGAAATGCTTGGTGCCCCAAACAGCTGTGTCAGAACACAGCACACATTGTAGGAACACATACTTCTGACCAGGGAGGGTATTAGTGAGCACTGACAGCCGTATGAGTGGCAGTGGGGAGGGCTGTCTATTCCAAGAAAAGAAAAAGGGCACGGAGAGGTGGAAGGAAATGAGAGTAAGGAGTAGGGAGGGAGAAGTAAGACCAGGGGGAGAAGGAACAAATTAGAAGGAATGAAAGCAGCATTGTGGTGATCAAAATACTAGCTCCCAAACACAGCTGCAGTTGTACAATGTTCACTTTCTGGGATCATGAACCATCAATGGGGGAGGGGAAGGAGGGGCACTTCTTGCCACCAAACCCTATGCCACCCACTCCATCAGATTAAAAAAAACACAGGGTAAAAAGAAATTGAGAGTGGGAGAGCTATGAAAAAAAGATATAAACAAGACAGGAAGAGAGCAATAGCAGTAGGGTGGAGGAGGGTTGACCAGACTGGTTAGGTATGGCTGGAGGGTAGTGTCCTCTGGTCAACAAGAAGTCTTACAAGATAAGGGCTGCAGTTGCTAATGTGGGTGCTGGTGCACCCCTGAGCAAGTGACACTGGTTAATTTTAAAAGGCCATGCTGTGGCAGTTGTCTTTTTACTGTTCCTTTTCATTAATTTTGTTCAGTCTCATTTAAAAAAAAAATTATTTGTTTGAAGTTTGAGGTTTCACTTTTGTCATCCTAATCCATTTCACCTGGTCTCTTAAGCTTTTGTTATAGAAGGTCTGGATGGCTTATCTGCCTAGACCACCGTCTTGGGTCCACCTTTTTTGATTTGGCATATTCTCTCAACTTCTATTTTGGTATATTTTCTTCATTAAATAACTGGTAGAGTTTATGAATAAACCAGTCTATATCTGGTATTGTAGTGAAGGGAAACTTCTTAATATGGTTCTTTCTGCCATATTCCTTTATGCGATATATTGTAAATTCTATTCTCAATGCTTGTAGTCATAATCTCAATTTGCAGGAAATTCTCTGTTACAATAATGGAAAGGATGAAGTTTGGTGTATTCTGAGTTTCCATTTTACTAAAGAGTTTGAATCAAGTCACTACCCTTTGTTTCTTTGGGGGGTATGGTCTGCTGCTGAAAGACAAAAGCCACACCTTCATGAAAGAGAGCCCTCTTGGAAGCAGAGAATTCTCAGGTCATCAAGAAAGAACCACCACCAATGGAGCATGTTCAAGACCATGCGGGCTGAAACCAGAGTCTGTGGCACAGAGACCATGAGACAAAGCAGAAGGTCTGGACATCTGAGATAATGAGGTGGAACAGCAAACAGGCTTCCTGGACCACACAGCAGAAGACGCTGAGGACCACAGAGAGATTTGGCTGCTGTCTGAAAAGAGATGCTTGTGTGGACCAAAGATTGAACCTTTAATGTTTGATAGTCCTGCCTTGGGGTAACCTGTTCGCTTCTCTAATAAACCTCTGTAACTGTGAGTACTGTCTGAGTTATGTGTGGCCATTGCTAGAGTTTCCACCACTTGTCAGTCAGTTTGTCATACTATGGTGGCTTGTGTGTTGTTGTAATACTCGAAGCCATTGGTATTTCAAATGCCACCGAGTCACATGCAAAGTGAACAGGTTTCAGTGGAGTTTCCAGACTAAGAAAAGACAACGAGGAAGGAATTGGCTCCCCAGTTCAGAGGAAGTAGTCATTGAAAACCATATGCAGATTCAAAACATTGTCAGATAATGAAGGAGTAATTACTGGAAGCAGGATGTAGTGCCAGAGGATGGGAGCCTCAGGTCAGAGGGCACTGGAAATGTGTGAGGAGGAGCTGCTTTCTCAAAGTCGACTTGACCATCATGACGTGAGTGGGGAAAAGCCTGTGGGAGGGGAGCCATAAGGATCAGCATGTGTTGATGGGGCCCAACCCAAGGCGAGGAGAAAAAGCTGTAAAAATTTGCTAATGAGACGAGCCAGTCAGGGTGCAGTGTAGCAACGATGAAACATACAGCTTTCCTCTAGTTCTTTAAGGCTTCCTTCCCCGCTCCGCCCCCCCTCCCACTATCATGATCCCAATTCTACCTTACAAATCTGACTAGACCGGAGGATGTGCACTGGTACAGAAAGGAACTGGAAACACAGGGAATCCAGGACAGATGAACCCCTCAGGACCAGTGGTGAGAGTGGCGATACCAGGAGGGCGGAGTAGAAAGGGGGAACCGATCACAAGGATCTACATATACTCCCCTCCCTGGGGGACAGACAACAGAAAGGTGAAGAGAGACGTCAGACAGTGTAAGACATGACAAATCAATTCTCGGCGTTTTGGCTAAGATCAAGTGTAGTATCTGTTCTTATCCGTTTAATATCTGATACACCCTCTATTCAAGGACAATATATTAAATGGATTTTTGGAGTAGGGAGATGGAATAGCAGCTTGCTTCATCCACTCCACGCATCGAGCATCGACCTGGTATTGCAGTACTTCCAGGAATGGTGTACCCCCTCGGGGGATCTAGAAAAGAAAAAAGGAAAGAAGAAAATAAAAAGAAAGACATGCGGAGTGGAGACCCAAAGCCCATTAGCAGGCGACTGGAGATCCCCTTGCAGAGAGGAGGTCTCGGGGAGGAGATGAGCCAGTCAGGGTGCAATGTAGCAATGATGAAAAATACAACTTTCCTCTAGTTCCTAAATATTTCCTCCCCGCTCCCACTATCATGACACGAATTCTACCTTGCAAGTCTGGCTAGACCAGAGGATGTACACTGGTACAGATAGGAACTGGAAATACAGGGAATCTAGGGTGGATGATCCTACAGGACCAGTGGTGTGAGTGGCGATACTGGGAGGGTAGAGGGAGAGTGGGTAGGAAAGACGGAACCGATTACAAGGCACTATATGTGACCTCCTCCCTGGGGGATGGACAACAGAAAAGTGGGTGAAGGGAGATGTTGGACAGGGCAAGATATGACAAATAATAATTTATAAATTATCAAGGGTTCATGAGGGAGGGGGGAGCGGGGAGGTGTGGGGAAATGATGAGCTGATGCTAGGGGCTTAAGTGGAGAGCAAATGTTTTGAGAATGATGAGGGCAATGAATGTACAAATGTGCTTTACACAATTGCTGTATGTATGGATTGTGATGAGTTGTATGAGCCCCTAATAAAGTGATTTTTAAAAGAAAGACATGACAAAATAATAATAATTTATAAATTATCAAGGGTTCGTTAAGGGGGGGCAGGGAGGGAAAGGAAAAAATGAGAAGCTGATACCAAGGACTCAAGTAGAAAGCAAATGTTTTGAGAATGATGATGGCAACAAAAGTACAAATGTACTTGACACAATGGGTGGATGGCTGGATGGATTATTATAAGAGTTGTACGAGCCCCAAATAAAATGATTAAAGAAAAAAAAGCTTAACATTTCTGCACAAATGAAATCTGAAAAAAAAATCTAATGATAGGAATTTAGAATATGAGAAGGTATGAATCTACGAAATCTGGAAGTTTTCAAAAATGAAATGGACCTCATAAAGATATCCTAGGCTTAGTGAGCTGAAATCGACTGGTATTGGCTATTTTGAATCAGAAAACCAAGATTTACTATGTTGAGAATGACAAGAGGAATGGCCTTGCGTTCATTGTCAAAAAGCACATTGCAAAATAATTCTTGATAATACAGTAAGGTTTGTGATAGGATTGTATCTATCCATCTTCAAGAAAATCCAATGAATATAACTATTATTCAAATTTATGTACCAATCACAAAAGCTAGTGATGAAGAAATTGAAATCTACTTATAACTTCAGTCTGAAGTCGATCAAACATCTAATCGGGATGCATTTTAATTATTGGTGATTGGAATAACAAAGTTGGAAAACAAAGAGGAAGGAACAGTAGTTGTAAAATATGGACTTGGTGATAGAAATGAAGCCTGGAGAACACATGGTAGAATTTCACAAGATCAACGACTTGTTCACAGCAAATACCTTTTTTTAACAACACTAAAGGTAACTATACACATGGGCTTTTCCAGGTGGAATACACAGAAATCAAATTGACTACATTTGTGACAAGAGAAAATGGAGAAGCTCAATATGAGTAGCTAAACCAGGCTAGGGGCTGACTGTATAACAGACCATTTATTTCTCATATTTAAGTTCATGTTGAAAAAAATAAAAACAGCTGTCAAAGAGAGGCAATATGCAATCTACCCACATGAATTTCAAGGACATCTCAGAAGCAGGTTTCCTACATTGAACACTAATGACAAGATATGATGAACTGTGGAGGGTGTCGAGCGTTATTCACAGAGAAAGCAAAACGCCATTAAAAAGAAAGAAAGGATCAAAGTGAATGTCAGAAGAGACTCTAAACATGTTCTTAATCATAGCATATCTAAGGCAAATGGAAAAAATAAGTCAAAGAGCTGAATAGAAAATTTCAAAGGGCAGCTTGAGACAACAAAGTCAAATATAATAAAATGTGGAAAGACCTAGAGTTAAAAAACAGAAAAAGGAAGAACGTGCTCAGCACAAACTGAAAGAACTCAAGAAAAAATTCAAGCCTCAAATTGCAATATTGAAAAATACTGTGGGCAATATATTGAATGATGGAAGAAGCGTCAAAAGAAGAAAGAAAGTGATTAGTATCTCTAAATTATGAGAATCCTGTGTGCAGAAGGCTATGGATGACAGTGGGAACCCACCATTCATTTGTGGAACTACATAGGAAAGAAGCCTCCTGTGAACTCCTTTCGTCTACACATGAGGGACGGGAGGAAGGGGTTACAAACAGTGCATTGGAGAGAGGGGTATAGAAGATCAAAGGGATAAAGCAGAATCAACAGGCAAAACGTTGTTGATCCCCCTTCTCTGACACATGCTGCACCTGACCTGGTTTCCAAAATGTTCTGTATTTTTGGTCTGTATTGTTTTGTTTGGCTTTTGTTTGTTCATGTTAGGGTGTATCTCAGAGGTGTTATGCCACTGGAGGTAACCTTCTTGAAATTGTACTATGTGTTCTTCAGTTTTTTGGCATATATAACCCAGAATTGAACCAATAGGGACAGCCAGTAGTTTCAGAGGGAGGGAGGTGCAGGGGTGGCGGAAGGTAAAAGGGAGATGATGTCAAGGAGTCCAGGAAGAAAAAGAATGTTAGGATTCTGATTGTGGTAGCAATTGTACAATTCTTTTTGATGTGATTGAACTAGGGAATGTGATGTATGTATTAAATCCCAATTAATAATACTTAAAAAAAAGATAGAATACATAGTCACTGTATCAAAAAGAAGTAGTAGACATTCTAGCATTTCAGGAGGTAGCATATGAGCAAGAAGTTCAAGCTGCACCGAAAGCATTAGCCAAAAAAAGTCTCCAGGAATTGATGGAATACCAATTGAAATGTTTCACCAACCTGATGAATCACTGGAAGCTCTTATTCATCTATGCCAGGAAATTTGGAAGACAGCTACTCAGCCAACTGACTGGAAGAAATTTATGTTTGTATCCATTCCAAAGAAAGGTGACCCAGCAGAATGCTCAAACTATAAAACAACACCACTGATATCACATGCCAGTAAAATTATGCTTAAGCTCATCTAACAATACTTGCAGCAGTACATTGACAAGAGAACTGCCAGGTCAGTCTGGATTCAGAAGAGGATGTGGAGCAAGGGATATCATTGCTGATGTCAGAGGTTCTTGGCTCCAAGCAGAGAATACCAGAAAGATGTTTGTTGTCATGTGTCATTGAGGCGGTTCCAACCCATAGCAACTCTATGCACAGAAGGTAACAGTACCCAGTCCTGCACCATCCTCACAATTATTTCAATGCCTGATCTCTTTATTGCAAACATTGTATCAATCCATCTTGTTGAGGACCTCCCTCTTTTTCACTGTCCCTCCAGTTTACCAAAGATGATGTCCTTCTCCATGGACTCATCACTCTGAAAATATGTCCAAAGTATTTAAGACAGAGTTCTTACCATCCTTGCCTCTAAGGAGTACTCTGGCCAAGCATCTTCCAAGACAGATTGGTTTGTCCTTTTAGCATTGCATAGTCTTTTCAACATTTTCCTCCAGCACTACAATTCAAATGCATTGGTTCTTCAGTCTTCCTTATTCAGTGTTCAACTTTCATATGCATATGGGGCAATTGAAAATACTGTGGCTTGAGCCTGGCGCACCTAGTCCTCAAAGTAACATCCTTGCTTTTGTATATTCTAAAGAGATCTTGTGCTTCATATTTACTTAATGCAACCTATCTTTTGATCTCTCCTGACTGCTTTTTTCCATGAGCATTGATTGTGGATCCAAGCAAGACGAAATCCTTGATAACTTTGACCATTTCTCCATTTAGCATGATGCTACTTATTGGTCCAGTTGAGAAAATTTTGGTCTTCTCTACATTGAGTTGTAATCCATACTGCAGGCTGAAACCCTTCAGGACTTGAGCACTCTCTGATGGAGAAAGATGTTTGCTTGTGTTTTATTAACCAGGCCAAGGCATTCAGCTGTTTAACTCATAACAAACTATCGATAACTTTGAGAAGAATGGATATTCTAGAACCCTTGATTGTGCTCATACATAACTTGAACATGGATCAAGAGGCAATTGTGTGAACACAGCAAGGGATACTGCATGATTTAAAATCAGGTAAGTTGCTCACCAGGATTGTATCCTATCATCATGCTTGCTCAATCTCTATGCTGAGGAAGTCATTAGAGAAACTGGGTTAAATGAAGAAGAATGTGGCATCAGTATAGGAGAAAGGTTTATTAGCAACCTGCAGTATGCAAATGACACAGCCTTGTTTGTCGAAAGTGAGGAGAACTTAAAGCATTTGCTGATGAAGATCAAGAATGTCCACCTTCAGTATGAGTTAAGACTCAGTGTAATGAAGACCAAAACCCTCCTATCATGATAAATGGAGAAAAAGGTAAATTTGTCAAAGATTTTGTCTTGCTTGGATCCACAATCAATGCTTATGGAAACAGCAGTCAAGAGATCAAAAGACAGGTTGCATTAGGTAAGTCTGCAGCACCAGATCTCTTTAGAATATTCAAAAGTAAGGATGTTACTTTGAGGACTACGGTGTGCCTGACACAAGTCATAGTAGTTTCAGTTGCCTCATGTGCATGTGAAAGTTGAACACTGGCTAAGGGAGACTGAAGAACAATCATTGCCTTTGAATTGTGACACTGGAGAATATCGAAAGTACCAGGGACTGCTAGAAGGGCAAATCAGTCTGCCTGGGAAGAAATGCGACTAGAGTGCTCTTGAGACGAAGGGTAGCAGCACGTAGTCTCACATACTTTGGACATGTTGTCGGGAGAGACCAGTTTCTGGAGAAGGACATCATTTCCTGGTAAAGTGGAGGGGCAGCAAAAAAAGGAAGACCCTCAGTGAAATGAGGGACGCCGTGGCAGCAACCATGGGCTCAGGCATTGTGAGGAACAATTGTGAGGATGCTGCAGGACCAGGCAGTGCTTCATTCTGTTGTGCCTAGGATTGCTATGGGTCAGAACTGATTCAATGACACCTACCTACATTGCAACAAATTATCAAACTCAGAAAAGTAGAGTATTGTGGGGGGGAAAGTTGCCAACACAATAGTGTAAAGAAGGCTGGAGGATGGAGGTGTGTCTGATGGTTGCTTCATGGCAGTAAGTCTTGAGCTGGTAAGGAGTTGGATTCTTCTCCAGTGTGTAGTCAGAGCAGGTCAGATATTGCCTCTGTGCCTTTATTCTCATGCGTTTTCTGCTTGTCAACTTTTTAAAACCGATTTAATTTCAAATGATTTAACTATTTTAACAGATATAGGTGTGTTCAGATCATACTTTTCTGTGTATGTCTAGATTGATTGTATGTTCTAAGGAATTAGTCCGTATCATCTTGGTCATCAAGTTTGTGGGCATAGAGTTGTTACAAATAAAACTGTTATTCTTTTAGTATCTGTGGAATTAGTAGCCCCTCTTTTATGTGTAAATATTTTGTCTTTTGTAGTTTGTCTTTTCTTTGTTTCTTTTTTTGTTCTCCAGTGTATTTAGCCAGGCTAGAGGTTTTGGGATTTGAGGGGCTTTCTCTATTCCTAAGATGGAAACTTAATTGATTGATTTTAGACCTTTTTTTTCTAATAGGTTCGTTCTGTGCTATACATTTTCCTACAAGTACTGCTTTTATGGTTATCCACAATATTTGATAAATTTTCTTTTCATATAGTTTTAATAGTTTCTTTCTTTCTTTTTTTTAAGTCTTTTTCTTTGTCTCACATTATTTTGGGAGGATCCCTGGTGGCATAATGGTTATAAGTTGGGCTGCTAACCTTGAGGGTCAGCAGTTTAAAACCACCATCCTCTCCTGAAAGAAAGACAGGGCTTTCTACTCCCATATAGAGTTATGGGCTTGGAAACTCACAGGGTCAGTTCTACCCTGTCCTATAGGGTCGCTATGAGTTGATGGCATTGAAGTTGGTTTGATATGGGCATGTTATTTAGAAGTGTGTTCTTTATTTTGTGATTTTCCAGGAGTCTTGATGCTATTAATATAAGCTGTACGTTCTTTGAGATCTAAGCACATACACTATATGACTTCTGGGTGTGTGTGTGTGTGTGTGTATATATATATATATATATGTATATATATATACATATATATACACATATATAATGTATTTTATTGAATGTTCTCTGTTAGCTTGAGGAGTGTGTTCTGCTGTTTTTAGATGAGGCATTCTGTAAATGTCCGTGAGCTCCACCATTGATGGTGGTGTTAGTTCAACTTTATCTTTACTGGTATTCCTGCTGTTAGATTTGTCAGTTACTGTTAAAGGACTCTTAAAAGTCTCTCAAGTATAATGGTGGATTCATTTATTTTCCCCTCTCTGTTCTAGTAGTTTTTGCCATATATATTTTAGTGTTCCATTATTTGAATGTACATCCTAAGAATTATTATGATTTCTGGAGATTTCCAAATCTCTATCGCATCTTAAATTGGCTTTGTTGCTTGCACTGTTTTGGTTTTTGTTTGTTTTGGCTTTATATCATTTTTGTTGAAAACTGAAGATTTATGTACTATAGAAAAGGAATTAAGGTAAATATCCCTGTAGTATGTAAGGTTTAACTTTATCTGGCTAAAAGACTATATCTAGTGTTTGCTATAAGTGTCAAAGACCAAAATATTCTTTTAATTTTTATTTTTACCACCGTTTGGGTGTCTAAAAGCTTAAGTAATGTCTGATAGTTGAGAGTTGCTTTCTTTTGTAATTCCTTATGATTATATAGAAACCCTATGGTGATGAAATGAGGGGACATAAACTCTATAGTCAGTCTTCAGTGAGGCTGTTCCTCTAGGCAGGAACTTCACAAGTGCTTCTCCGCTATTCCCTTCTCTCACTTTCACCAGACAAGAAGTCTAGATGGACCTAGAGTTGCATATTTTACTAGTGCAGCTTAGCTAAGCTCTTCCAAGATAGTTTCCATTTCTAAAAGAGTTTTCCACCTACTGTCATGGAATTGGCCTTGTTAAAGAAAACTGAATATTCCGAGAAAATTTTGAAATAGCAAAGTTTTTGCTTCTGCCTCCTGGAAACACAAGGGAATTTTTCTCAGATCTTCATACCGAATACCAAATTGGGTTTCTGGAGGTAAAAGTCACAAAACTGTGTGTATCCTCCTAAGTTTGGGCATCTGTGGCATTTATGACCTCCAGTCTTTGGGTCCCCACTCCACACTCCCCTCATTCACAATGATATGATTTTTTTGTTCTTTGATGCCTAATACCTGATCCCTTTGATACCTCGTGATCGCATAGGCTGGTGTGCTTCTTCCAGGTGGGTTTTGTTGTGTCTGGGGTCTTAAAGGCTTGAAGGTAAAGAAGCAGCCATCTAGCTCAGAAGCAACAATAATCTTTGTTCTTATGTACTTGCCTAATGATACTAAAAATATTTGATGACTTTAAAATATGTAACATGGCCCACTGCAATGAAAGATGCTATTGATTTTTACTGGTCCAAAGTTTATTGGGAAAACACTATTCTAGTAATGATTAGACATGATCTTGATAGGTCACTTTGTCCTCTATCCTGACAAAACTCAAAAAAGCAAACTCATTGTCATTAAGTTAATTCTGTTACATAGTAACCCTATAGAACAATGTAGAACTGCCCCTGTGGGTTTCAAAGACTGCAACTCTTTGCAGGAGTAGAAAATCTTGTCTTTCTCCTGTGGAACAGCCAGCTGGTGGTTTCAAACTGCTTACCTTGAGGTTAGCAGCCCAGAGCATAACCACCGTGCCACCTGGGCTCTATTCTGATATGAGAAGCTTTATTGATCTGTTGCTACTGTGCTGTTCAGTTCCATATTAATATCAAAAATGCTTGTGGCAGGTTTTTCTCTCCTCATTACAAGTGGAAGTCATTGGGTTAAAGCTACTGTTCAGAGGCTAATCCTATAGCCTGAGGGTCACCAGTGGTCAGGGTTTGGGTAGTCAGTCATTCTTTTGTAACTTTCAAGGGCTGCAAATATGAAAATACTTTCAGGTGGAGCCTCTAGTGAGCTGGTGAGGACCCCTTTATTGGAGTTCTTGGGCAATAAATCAGCTAAATCTCCCATGTATCAAGGCATTTTGAAAATGAAAGTCTTAACTTTTTCTTCATGGTCAGACATAAGAGAATGCTTTTGCAGAGATAGGGGTTTGGGGTTATCATATAACTTTAGAGTCCTTATGGAGGGGTATCTGAGTATATTAAAGGAAGCAATTACTACTAATTAATTTTCAGGATCATCAGGTTTTGAAAGTTTTATAATTGTGAGACTATCTGAATTCTTTGCCTCTATCTATGAACCATACACCACCTGGAGCCATCCAGTGCCATCCGCATGGTCGGCAGTTTGAAACCACCAGCAGCTCCACGAGAGAAAGAGGGGGTTTTCTACACTTGTAAACAGTTACAGTCTCAGAAGCCCACGGGGAGTGGCAGTGAATTTGTTTTGTTTGTTATGAGCAGTGCAGAGAAGGTGATAGCACACTTGCTATGTTCTTGGAATAAGAAGTGACAAACATGTAAAAGTTCATAATTCTCAAAGAATATTCTCTTTGGGAAGGCTGTCCTGTCACTTCCTGACCATCTAGAGCACTTCAAGAAAACACCATTCAGTGCTGTGACTTGCCAATTTGTTTATTGGGGGCTCATGGGTCTCTTAAAGGTGCTAAGGGACAAAGGAAAAGCTGCTGTCCTTCAGGGTTTCCTAGTTATTAACTCATCGTGCTCTGACTGCTGCTTTGTTTTGTACATTTTTTGGGGTCTTAAGAAAGGAAGTAAATTTTTTCTTTCCAAAAGAAAGTGCTGATTTTAATGTGAAATTGAGTTTTATTGTAGAGCATTTCTGTACTTTCTGGTATGTGCTCTGAGTGTTCTAGACCATAAAGATAGTGAAAATGAAGGCCAAAATTTGTAACAGTGAAAATGGAGAGAGAAGTTCAGTTTGTTGAAAGTATTTTTAAATCTATTAGACAGGATGCACTCAGTGGGGATGTGAATGTATACAGTGAAAGGCAAAGCGTGATCTCTAAACTCAAGAATACACCTCAGTAGAACAAGCCCCAGTGAATGCCCGGTTTTCCAGGACTGTCAACCTCAACCATTCCTTTGTGAGCACACACTGGAGACATGCTAATTTGCTGAACCAGAATATGTGGGATGTTTTAGGACTCAGTGGTCATTGAGGATGTGGCTGTGGACTTTACCCAGGAAGAGTGGGCTTTGCTGGATCTTGCGCAAAGGAAAATCTACATAGATGTGATGTTGGAAACCCTCAGGAACCTGGCCTCAGTAGGTAAGGATGGCATCATTTTTTCATTCACTGCTTTAGTAAAAAATATATATATATGGTACTCATTGATCTTACTCCAGTATTTAAGCTGAGGTAAAGGAGGGAATATGTGATTAAATAACAGAGGTATGGTCATCTGTTCTGCAGACTGTACATAGTCTGACTTCCCATGAACATAAAGCTGTATGTATGAACTGGATTTTATTTGTTGTGATTAAAGCCTTGAGGGTCATTAAGTGTTACATAAGTGGTCATTGACCCCTGGGGTCAATTTGCGACACAGAGTTTCCTGGTTAGGAATCTTGTAGAGTTTTACTATGGTTATTACAATTTGATCTGATTTTGCTTCAAGTCAACTAACGCCCATCCCTAAAGACACTGAAGATGAAAATACTGGCTCAGTGGAAAGACGTAGTGGTGGTGGTGGTGGTGGTGGTGGTGGTGGTGGTGGTGATGATGATGAAGAAGAATATGATGATAGTGGTAACAGCAATGTCTGAACCTGCCTAACTTCAGGATACATAATGACCAGGATCAGCCCAAAACTAATTCCCATCAGGTGGAGGTCAGCCATACCTTCATTCTCCAAACTTTTTACCAATTCTGATACCAGCTGCTCTTCCCACAGCACTCTCTACTTCTCTTTGGGATCCATAATCTATTGTAATAGTCACAGATATTCACAGGCCATACTTAAAATTAAGTGGTTTATTAGGAACAGGGTACAGCTCAGGTTCATTATCAACCGACTGTGAATCAGGTTCAGGAAGGATGTGTGAAAAGTCTCCCTCTTCAATGTAAGACAGATCTCTTAGCTCCTGTTGGCTGTCCAGGCCTTCTCTTGGTCCTGCTTCTGCCACCACAGGGCCCCTTCTGGCCTGTTGCTGCTGGCTGTCTCTGGGCCCCTTCTGGACCTCTCTTTTCCTTTTGCCTTCTCTTTTTTTTTCCTTTATCATTTTTGCCATTGGTCCTTTTATATACATTTTACCAGCCCCAAACATCTAATCACTATTTGTCCATCCATGGGGCAAACCTTGTGAGAGTGAGTCACTCAAGTATCAGCTACTCAGAGCCGTTCCTGGTATGCATATGGTCTAATCATGTTTCCCCAAAAGTTGTCTTTGCTTAACCCTGTCTAATATCTAATAAAACTTAACTGAAAAAAGATTATACCCACTCCTTACTTATTAGAAAATCTAGTTCTCAAAATCATGAGACTGTTACATGAATTTGGCAATATAGGCCTGTCTGGGGCCATTCCCCATCTTCAGCACCAGGACCTCCCACCCCCTCCCAGTCTCGCTTCAAGCATTGGGTGCCCCTACCACAGAGCAGAGTGGGCTTCCCATTCCCGCCATACTCTCCCTACCACACTGGAGCTCACAGGTTGGAGGTGTGGTGGTGGTGGTTGCACTCTGCTTACTCTGTATACACCCCAGCTCCACAGATTTGTGCAACCACTGATCTCCCTGTCACCTCCGGGCCCTCTGAAAGTCTCTCCCTGCCCACCTTTGACTGTGCCATCACCCAAGCCATCTACGACTGAGCCAAGAAGCTGCAGAAGAACAAGATAAGGCATCCCACAGACAGCTTGACTGTTGTCCCTCATGCGGCCCAGTCATAGCTGGAGCTTATGGTGTATAATTTGGGGTGGCCTTCAGAGGGCACCTCAGGCTCAGCCATGATCACACAGAGGCCTAGCCTGAGAACTTTTTGGTTTTCATAATTGCAAACTATGAGATAATCTGTAAGTGAGGAGTGGGTATAATCCCTATTCTGAGCCCTTTGAGGTAGCAGCATAGCAAAACCATTAAGAAGTATTAGGTTTCTCCTTTGTACTCCAGTCCAGCAGTGCCTCTCCCTTACACCCAGTCTTTTAGTTGAAACTCTTACAATTAAAACTTTTTATCATCACAGACTTGTTAGTACTTAATAATAATCATAACTGAAATTATACCATACATCTTCTTGCACCCTCTTCTCCAGACCTATCAGGAACCTCTAAAAGCACCAAAAGAGAATTCCCCTTGGGTGATGTAGACATCTAAGCACAGATTGTTCATCTACTCTTAAGAAGTAGGCCAGATTCGATGCAGCATTTTTGGTCAACTGTATGTTAGAAGTCATGTCTTTTCAGGCTCATAGTAGCCAAGTGGATGAATAATGCAATAGTCCCTTGACATTTGTGCTTTTAACTATTGAAAAATAATCCAAAAGTAAAAAAAAAAGGAAGAAGCTATTCATTGGTGATCCTTTCTTGTCTTTCAATTTTTGTGTTAGTACACATATGGAAATATGTAAGCCGTTCTTGTCAATAGTTTTATCTCCCTCTATTTGAGACAGCCAGTATTCAAACCAATATTCAGAGGAGACAAGCATGTCCCTTGGTCTGAAGAACCTGCTGTTGTAGTTGAAACTGAGCATTCGCATCCATAAGCAAAATCCAGCCCTAGGCAGATCATCAAATCACATCAATTTATACCAAGTTACAAAGACAGAATTGACTGTCCACTTCAGAGGCATTAGCTGCTGAAAACCTTATGCATTACATGGAAACGTTGTCAGACTGAAGGCCTAATGCATAGAAGCAGAACATTGTCAGAGATCGTGCCAGAAGATGAGCTGCTGTCTTAAAGGAAAGTTGTCCATAATGATATGAATGGAGTAAAGCCATGGAGGAAAGAAAGCCTTTGGGACCTTCATTTTCTGGTGAAGCACATCTCAAAATGAGTAAAAAACAACTGCAGATCTAATAATCGGAACTTAGAATGTATAAAGTGTGAATCTGGGAAAATTAAGTCATTAAAAACTAAATACAGTACATAAATATTGATGCCTTAGGGGTTAGTGAGCTGAAATGGACTGGTATTGGCTATTTTTTATCAGAAAACCATGTGGTTTCCTATGCTAGGAATGAAACAATCAAGGAATGGCATTGCATTCATCATCAAAAAGGACATTTCAAGATCTGTGTTGAAGTACAGTGCTGTCTGTGATAGGAGTATATCTATTTGCCTTCAAGGAAATCCAACGACTGCAACTATTATTCAGATTTATGCACCAACCACAAAAACTTGAGATGAAGAAATTGAAAAATTCTACCAACCTCTTAAATCTGAAATTGATCAAACTTGTACTCAAGATACATCGATAATTATTAGTGATTAGTATGCAATAGTTGGAAACAAAGGAAAAAGAACAGTAGTTGGAAAATATGATCTTGGTGATAGAAACAAAGCTGGCAGTCATATGGTAGAGTTTTGCAAGCCCAATGACTTGTTTATAGCAAATACCTTTTTTTCAACAACACAAATGGCAACTGGATACACACTTGGACTTCTCCAGATGAATACATAGTATTATTCTCCAGATGAATACTACATCTGTGGAAAAGATGATGAGAAGTTCAATATCACTGACTGTAACATCACCACTTGCTCATGTGTAAGTTCAGATTCCAAAACTGTGTATGAGGCAGCCTTATTTGGTGAAAGTGAGGAGGACTTGAAGCCCTGGCTGATGAAGCTCAAAGAGTGCAGCCTTTAGTACAGATTGCAATTCAAAGAAGACCAAAATCCTCACCACTAGACCAATAGGTAACATGATAAACGGAGAAAGTTTCAAGGATTGTGTCTTGCTTGGATCCACAATCAATACTCATGGAAGCAGCAGTCAAGAGACCAAAAGATAGTGTTGCATTAGTTAAATCTGCTGCACAAGACTTCTTTAGAGTATTGAAGAGCAAGGATGTTACTAAGGTGCACCTGACCCAAACTATGGTATTTTCAGTTGCCTCATGTGCATATGAAAGTTGGACATTGAATAAGGGAAACTATAGAAGAATTAATGCGTTAGTATTGTGGTGCTGGTGAAGAATATTGAAAGTACTATGGACTGCTCAAAGGACAAACTGATCTTAGAAGTAGCACCAGGGTGCTCCTTAAAGGCAAGGATAGTAAGACTTCCTCTTACATACTTTGGACATGTTATCAGGAGAGACCAGCCCCTGGACACATCGTGTTAAGTAAAGTGAAGGGGCAGTGAACAAGATGAAGCCCCTCAAGAAGATGGGTTGACACCGTGGCTGCAGCAATGGGTGCAGGCATAGAAACAATTGTGAGAATGGAGCAGGACCATGCAGTGTTTCCTTCTTTGGGGCATAAGGTTACTATGAGTTGAAACCAACTGGGGGAACCTAACAACCAGTTCAGGTTGATGCTGAGGAAAACTAAAGGAAGACCAGGAGAGCCACAATATGACTTTGAGTCTATCCCACCTAAATTTCAAGAACATCTCAACAGATTTGCTGCATTGAATACTAATGACAGAAAATTCGATGAGACTTCATCTTGTTTACTTTGGGCATGTTGTCAGGAGACCGCAGTTTCTGGGGAAGCATATCGTGCTTGAAAAAGTAAAACAGGCCCTCAACACAATGGATTGACACAGTTACAGCAATAATAGGGGGCTCAAACATAATAACAATTGTGAGGATGACACAGGACCATGCAGCGTTTTGTTCTATTGTACATAGGATCGCTAAGATTTAGAGCCAACTTGATGGTACCTAGCAACAACAGTGCCAAGTCATGCTGGCAGGTATGATTCATGGTGTCAGGCATCACTGTCTCTTTAACTGCTTTTGGCTCATCTGTAGACATTCACTCTAGGTCAGTGGCTAACAGCCATAGAGGCTCAAGAGTCCACAGAACTTCTGATACATATCAGCCAGCCCTTTCTCTCTCTCATTTCTAGCCACCTTAGGCTTAGTTAACAGATGCCAAAAGGACATTTACAAACTGTACTTGTTCATCACTGCATCTCCTCTGCTTCCCATTCATCTATGGACCCAGTGAACATATCAAGCTGTCTACTTACCAATCTCCATTAGCTGACAAGTCATATCCAATACACCCTTCAAATCCCATAGGCCTGTGCCTTACATGAACATCCTTTTGCTATTCATTCATCAAGGCCCTCTTTGGTCAAGCATACCTGATTTGCTTTAAAATGCAGGTCTTCTGGTCTTGAAGTGTTTTGACATAAGGCCCATTTACTCATTTCCCCCTTTAGCATAACCAATCAAGTATTATTTGAAGGGTGGAATAACAATGCTCAGTTTTTATCTCCATCATAAAATTAGTTGGTTTTATAACACAAGGTAGAAAAATTTCCATCATTCAAACAAATAGATATTCAGACCAGTCCAAATCAGGCAAAGGTAACTCCTTTGGGCTTACAGGAAACATCTCTTGTTTTTCCAAAGAACCTACAGCCACACAACGGAACTCATTTCACCACACTTGGTGACAGGTCAAGTTTCCTTGTTCTCTAGTACTTCCCACGTGGTGTGCTTTTTCCCAAGCATATAACCTTTTAAAATATTGCAATTTCATTTTCTGTTTTCTATCCTTTATCTTGACTATAAACATTTGAGTTTAGGATTGAACTAGTAGACCCTGGCCACTTAACAGTCATTTTGCTTAATCTACAGTTTTAAAACTGCAAGGCACCCCAGATTGGGCTTTCCGAACCACTGCTGTTGCATAACATCGCTTACTCTCCTTTTTCTATTCATATGGCAGCATCCAAAATAATCATCCACAAATCAAAAGTTTATCCTTCCATGCACATCATCGTTTTGGACCATCACTTAAAGCTCTGTCACTGGGCCCATTCTGGGTTTTTTGCTGTCTTTAGTGTTACAACCCTGAACCCATGTTGCAACTCTTTTAGAAAGTTTGTTGCTTCCTCTCTGCTTCCCTTCCTCTTCCTTTTTCCTTGCTTCTGAAACCAGTGTGATGTCGGTAAGCTGTTAATAAGTCCTTACCAATTTTAAGTCATGAATTTTCTCTCAGGACCATCAACTGACCATTCCCATCTGGATTGGCCACAGTGACATTTCCAGAATATGCTAAAAAAAAGTTATATCCATGGTTTGTAGTCAGTTAAATTGCATAGTCTACTGGCCAATCCCTGCAAGATGTGTACCAATCAGGGTAGGCTGTAGTCCAGGACCAGGCAAAAAGTATCAAACCAAGTTGCTTACAATTTACCCAGGAAATGTAGCAAACCCTCTGGAGTAGGAAATTAGGACAAAGGTTACTCCTCTGGACGTAGAGGGTGAAGCTTTTAGTTTTTTTTCTAAAGAACCTAAGGCCAACGAAGGAACTCAGATGGGGTTCATTGTTCTTCAGTACCTTTCCTTGTGATATACCTTTTCTTAAGAAATCAATTCAGTTACGCATTTGTTTTCCCAGGGAGCAAAGAGGAAATCTGAGTAAAGTGGGGCTAGAACTCCTATATAGGTCTTTTGTGTCACAGAGCATCAGGAAGGAAAATCTTTTGCAGGATCAGCTTTGTATGGAGGGTGTAAGTTTTGTGTAACTCCGAAAGTCTCCAGGGTTCTCAGATACTTTTAACCTTACTTTTCTGACTTGTCTTTTCACATCTGTATTCTCCGAGAAACACTGCATTTCTTTTAAAATGATACATGTGCATTGTATGCAATACCTTTTTTCCTTTGCTGCCTTAATTATACCGTTTATATCACTATCTTCTCATGAAACAGTGTAAACTGTATTTCTAGTAAACGGTATTTTCACCATTACTAAGTTCCTGAAACACTGAAATGTGTGAAAATATTTCTTTGCCCACAGTTGACTCTTATCTCCTAATAATTTCTTTCCATTTTGTTTCATATTGTGAATCTCAATTTGAATCATTGGGTCAGTTTCTCCAAGCCTTAGTGATGGAGACAATGTATCCAGTAAACATCTAGTAGTTCAATTCATGAAGAATAACACCTACAAGTTAGAAGAAATATGTGAATTGCGTGGTATTGAAGATCAATGCAAAAACCAGGGGAAACATTCAAGGTAAGTTTCATTCACTTGAAAGGAATATGACAAGAGAAAATACATAGTGTTGTGATGTTAACTATATGTATATATACCAAAACAAAATCCACGGCTGCTTAGTCACTCCTGATGGAATAGAACTGCCCCACTTTGTTTCCAAGGCTATAAATCTTGATAGAAGCAGTCTGCTGCTACTTGTTCCCGTGGAGTGATTGATGTGTTCACATCACCAATTGCTTGGTTACCAGCAAGTGCTTACCCACTGTCCCACTCGTGCATATATCTATATATACACACAAGGGGGCTTATCTTTTTATTCCATTTCTTTATGAACTTTATTTTTTAAGTCTCCCTGGTGGGCACCAGAGTGCCTATCTCCTTTATTTATGAACTTTTTGAAGCCCCTGTACATATATATATTTCTTTGTGTTTGTATACATGTAATTTACATATAAATTATGTGTCCAGATAAAGTACAATATAATTTCATAAATATGCATTTTATTCTTGAGTACTTGAAACATATTTCACTTGTATATAATTATCTAAATGACCCATATTTGAGAACCTTTGATATATCTCTACTACATTATTTAATCTGTTACATATTAGATAACTCAGGGTAAAAATTATGCATATTCACTGTGTTTGGTAATGCTTTACAGTAACAAATTTATTTCCAACAGCATGGTGCTTGTTTTCAACAGAGGGCGTACAGAAGGGAACCTCTGTGAGAGTAGTGAAAGCAATCAAAGTGGAAAAACCTGCAGCCAAATTGCAGATCATACTGTGCTCAAAACAACTCCAGAAATACATAGTTCTGAATGTCATGAGTCTGGAAAAGCATCCATGGATAATTCATTGATTGAGCATCATAACAGATCTCACATTGGCAATAGTACTTATCAGAATACGGAATGTGGAGAAGATTGCAATTGTTTTTCTTACCTAAACACTCATATGAAAACTGTTAATGGAGAGAAATCCTGTGAATTTAATGATTGCGAGGGAGAGATATGTAGTTTCTCATCTCAGACACATATGAGAAATCATAAGTGTCAATATAAAGAATGTTGGAAAGCCTGTACACATCCTTTATCCCTCATGTTACATGAAAATTTCTATAATGGAGACAAGCTTTATGAAAGTAAGGAATGTGGGAAAGTATTACCATATTCCTCATCTCCTACAGAACATGTACAAATTCACAATGGAGAGAGGCCTTTTGAATGTAGTGAGTGTGGAAAAACTTTTCGTTATTTCTCGTGTCTCACTAGACATATAAAAATTCATAACGGAGAGAGGCCTTTTGAATGCATAGACTGTGGGAAAGCCTTTAGTCAGTCTTCACACCTTACTGACCATATGAGATCTCACAGGGAAGAGAAACCTTATGATTGTAAGGAATGTGAGCAAACCTTTCGGTATTTCTCAAACCTAACTAGACATAGTAAAATTCACAGTGGGGAGAGGCTCCATGAATGTAAAGAATGTGGGAAAGCCTTTAGTTGTTCCTCAAACCTCACTACACATATAAGAATTCACAATGGAGAGAGGCCTTATGAATGTAAGGAATGTGGGAAAGCTTTTAGTCGTTCCTCATCCCTCACTAAACATGTAAGAACTCACAGTGGAGAGAGACCCTATGATTGTAAGGTATGTGGTAAAGCCTTTAGTCAGTTGGCACACCTCACTCTCCATTTAAGAGTTCACACCGGAGAGAAGCCTTACGAATGTACTGAATGTGGACGTGCCTTCAGTCAGTCCTCTCACCTAACTACACACATAAGAACTCACAGTGGAGAGAGGCCTTATGAATGTAAGGAATGTGGGAAAGCTTTTAGATGTTCTTCATCCCTCACTAACCATTTAAGAATTCACAGTGGAGAGAGGCCTTATGAATGTAAGGAATGTGGGAAAGCTTTTAGTAAATTGGCAAATCTGTCTCTACATTTAAGAGTTCATACTGGAGAAAAGCCTTATGAATGTTTAGAATGTGGGAAAGCCTTTAGCCAATTAGCACACCTCACTGATCATATAAGAACTCACAGTGGAGAGAGGCCTTATGAATGTAAAGAATGTGGGAAAGCCTTTAGTCATTCCTCATCCCTCACTAACCATTTAAGAACTCACAGTGGAGAGAGGGCATATGAATGTAAGGAATGTGGGAAAGCATTTAGTCAGTCCTCTTCCCTAACTAAACATATAAGAACTCACAGTAGAGGTGTACCTTATACATATAAAGACTGTGGAAATGTTTTTCATTATTCCTCTTCCTTCTGTAGACCTAATAACACACAGTGGAGGGAGTCTTTGTGAATGGAAGGAATATTGGAAAGTCTTTAGATGTCTTTCATCATTTGTAACAAACACAATACTGTATATGTAAGTAATGTTGAATAGCTTACATCCCTTGTCTTTCCTCAAGCTTGTGAGAATACATTAAGTGTAAGGAATTAAGAATTTGTTGTTGTTGTTAGCTTTTGTCCTTTGTCTTTTCCCAACCTTGAAATGATATACATGGCAAAGAAATCATATACGTGTAAGCAGTGTGGAATTTTTTTCCTCATACATGTGAACGAACTAATACGAAAAAGCCTTACCTAATTAACTAAAACAAACATATCACACTGAAGATACTTTATCTAGAGTACCTTGGGACTTGTACATAGTTTCCATTCTTGAGCAGCGTATGAGATTTTTCACATTTGTTATTAATCTTACATTAAAGACAATGAAAGCCTTAGTGTCTGTTCCTCAAGATTTCTGTAAGATGTCACACACTGGAGAAACCTGGTGACTGTAAGCATTGTGAGAAAGCCTTCAGTACATCACTACCTTGTCCACATGTGCACAGAATTCTACTTTTCATTTCCTGATATAAACATTAAGGTGATATCACTCTAAGTATCCTTTCGATTTTAAGACATGAATTTTGACAAGCTATCTTTGCAGTTGGGTTTATTTATTAATTTTCTCCCTTTAGAATGTTTTCTCAACACAGGTATGTTGAAATGTGTTCCCTTGTTATCAACTATATTAAGACTTAATATTTCAGAGTATAAAGAAGCATGTTCTCATTTCAGAGCATTTTTTTAACAGAAAAGTGGAGAGGAGAAATAGGGTGTGAGAATCAGAGTTTACATAGAAGACAGGACATTCTTGGGCCCAAAGTGATAGAGACCTCACTCGTAACTCTAACCTGACCTAGCTACAATATAGCTTCCTACATAAGCATAGAATCTGTGCTCAGTAACAGAGTCTTGGTGTTTGGAAAATCTGACCGTCTTTAAGAATATGTGCTGTTCTAGGAGGTGAGACTGCTGGAGCTTGGCTGAGCAGGAATAATGGTTTCTGCTGCACTATATATATGACCATCCGCTCAGGACCTGAAGATGATGGGAGCACAACTATTGGTTTTCAATAGTGAGGATCAGACAAAGAATTGTTGGGCTGAATGTTTCTTCAGCGACAATTTCTATACTGACCTGAGAACCGCCTCGCTGACTTCTCATGTAAGAGACCTGGGAAATTGTGGATAGAATATAGGTGAATCATTCTAATTAAACTTTCTCTTAAAACAGCAATTTCCTTTGTAGAATCATTTTATGGAAATCCCTGGGTACATGATGATGTCTGTTGATAGTAGCAGTAGGCAGTGGAAATCCTTAGATCTGTGTCCACCAGAAAGGGACTTATTAGACAAATGCCTGGCTGCATGTCACAATATTGAGCTACCGCTAAATTTCTTTCCAAAGAAGTAGGATTACAGGAGAGGTTATTGTCATATAATGTTTAACAGGCCGAGTATCAAACTATATTACAACATCAGTTTTTGAAAAATTTATTTATAAATACATGGTTTACTTTTTAAAATTTTGAGATACAGCCTGTAGAAACATCCATCCTATAACATTAATGTTCTATGAGTGATTTCTTGTTTGGGCACTCTCTAATTTTCAGTTATTTTTATAGACATTGCTTATTGTTCATAAAATGTTTTAGCTTTATTTTTAAATTTACTTTTGGAATGTATGTTTTATAACTTGAGAAATGCATTAAGTGGTGTGATAATTTGTACAATGAAAGAATAATACCACAGTTTCCTCCAAATCCTCCCTTTCGCTACCCCTTTTAATTACCATAAACCTTCCTCTGACCATGAGTATCCTAGCAACTGTCCCTGTATTCTGGCTCCTTGTCCTTACTGTTGTGTATTTGAGAATCATACATGTTGATGAATGTACTGATAATTCTTTTTTTTTAATTGGTCTATAATAACATGTTATATACACATGCCACCGTTTGTATATTCACCATTTAGGGAATATTTGTATTTCTAAGGTTTTTTTAAAAAATAAACTTGATGTAAATGTGCACAGCTTTTCGTGAATTTGTTTTTCTTATTTTGCTTTTCACTTTTCTTCATGGTAAGGGTATCTTTACTAAAGATGTCATGTTTTAAAGGGAATGTACCTTTTATTTTCTCACCAAAAAACCCAACTCCTTTTATGTTAATTACAATGCATAATAACCATATAGAACTGCCCTAATGGGTTACCAAAGATGTAAATCTTTACAGCAGCAGGCTACTGCTGCTCAGAACAACTGGTGGGTTGGGACCATCAACCTGGCAGCAGCTAAGCATTTAACCACTATGCCTCTAGACCACCTGTATTCCCAACAGTGATAGATAATTCTAGTTGCTGTTGGGACCTGCAGATTGCTTTCTGGAACCTACCACACTACTGTTTAGCACGTTGCAAGTGTGTTTGAGTGGGTGGTATATCAGATAGGCAGATACCCTTTGCCAAGGGATGGGGTTTGGCATGTAGCAGTCTCAAATTAGATCACAGGCCCATGTGTATGGGGATCAAGACCAGGTCACCACTGTCACCTTGTTCTGAATCCAGTGCCTAACCAAGTCTTTTGCCAAAGGAAAAGTTGAGGGTGAACTTGTAATAAGTAGTCACTGCTCCTTGTCAACCAGCACAGCCTGGAGCTCCTGCCATTTTGCTGACCCTGGAATGGAACCTGGAAGTAGATGGGTCCTATGAACTCGGATTTGCCAGAGGGTAGCCGTCTTAGCAATCACTCCTTTCACCTTCATTTCTGAAGCAATTTTTTTTCTTCTCATAGGGAGTCCAAGTACCAACTTGGTCCTGCAGGAAGTAGAGGGTTCAAAGGTGGTGATGAGTGATCAGATATGACTGTTCCCTCACCAGTTCCTGGTTGTGCTCAGTGCATGCTCAGGAGTCATGGGGTGTCTTCTAAGAGTACAGCTTCTCTTGCCTTTTCTCACCCACTTAGCCCATCATGGCTCAGTTCTTCAAGAAGTGACAGGAAATGCAGGTGGTATCTATTCATTTGTTTTGTACTCCAAAATCCTTCAAAGCAACTTCTGTGTTTTGGCTCTAGAAGGAAAACGCATTTCTATTTCTGTGTCAAGAAAAATTCTGGCCCCAGCCAGTTCTCTTCAACTTGGTGATTCTGGAGTGACTTGGTGAGCATTGACTTAATTTCTCTGCCTTTTGATGATGGTTATTGAAGTTTAATAATTATTGTTCAAATGACAAGAAAACGTTGCAGATTATTAGGCAGCCGGTGTGTCTTAATCATCTAGTAATGCTATAACAGAAATAACCACACAAGTTACTTTAACATTTATTCTCAAAATCTAGGAGGCTAGACATACAAATCCAAGGGGATTTCAAGAAAGTTTTCTCTCTCTCTTGGTTTTGCGGGAAAGCTTTTGTCTTTCAACATCCATGGACTCACCGTTCTTGTGTATCTCTGTGTTTCTTGGCATCAGTCTTCACTTAGGTCTTAGAGCTTCTAAGCACAGGGACCCAGTTCTGAAGGATGTGCTTAGCTCCTAACTCTGGGGCAATGTGAGTGATACAGTGATCCCTCGGTTTGCTTCTCTGTCATCAGTAAAAAATGTTGCAGGTCACACTACAGGGCAATTTCCCTTCCTCAGAGTAAGGCTGTGACCTGCGTTAAAAAAATATCTTAAAGATATTTGGCTGATCACATTATGGGGATTGCTTCATTATCATATAACTGTCAAATTACATTGTTACATAACTGGCAAACCACTTAGAATCATGGCCTAGCCAAGTTGTCACAGTTTTGGACCACAGTTCGATCCCCAACTCTGTGTAAGTAATGTAGATAAATTTATGTGTGGATGAATGAATATATGTACTGATTAATTGTGGGAAAGGAAGCTCTATTAAGCCCTGTTCTCAAGTCATCACCTCCCCCCACATCTAGAGCCTGCACAATTGTCCAGAGTTTTAAAATCTAGGAGAACTGTGAGAAGGAAGACAATACGGGCTTATTTTAGTGCAGGATTTGTAATTGAATTGAGCATGTACAAGATTGCTCTACCAGGTTCTTTTAAATTTATTGTCCACAGTAAATCTGTATCCCTGTAAAATAAGCAACCATAACCTTTGGTATTCACCAGTTATTTAGTTGTTGCCCTTGGTCCAAGTATACATATGTTGTTATGAGGAAACACTCTGGTTAATTGCAGACATTTATTTCATCCTTTGTTATTTAGTATGTACCTTCTTTTTTTTTCTTATATACAGGGGATAGCGCGAACACAGTCCCCCACTACCACAAAGTATGCAGTCAAGTTTCCCGCATTTGGGGAAATGGCAGGGGTCAGCATGCCCGCAGTGCAATGGGTGAACCTCGCCCTGGGAAAACCACCTTCCTGATCATGGTGTCTCCCCTGCCAGGTAAGTATAGTATGTACCTTCTAAGAGTATAGTATGTAAAATCCTCAACAAATGATGCTGGAACAATTGGATCTTCATCTACAGAAGATAAAACAGGACCCATACCCAACCCTATGCACAAAAACAGATTCAAGATGGATTAGAAACAAATGTAAACTCCAGGGTTACCAAGATCATCAATGAGAAGATCAGGACAAACCTAAGAACTGTGTTTCAGAGCAGACACAGACTGCCCAGTGCAATAAACGAAGCATATGCAGTGGGAGACAAATAGGTGACTGGAGCCCATTAAAATAAAACAATTATGCAAATCAAAAATGTAAAACAAGGGCCACTGATTAGGAAAAAATCTTTAGCAATATCTAGGGACTAATTATTAAAATCTATAGCACTCCGCAACATCTCAAGACAAAAATTCAATTAAGTGGGAAAGGCCATAAATAGAAAATTCACTAAGGACAACACTAAATGGATAACAAACTCATGAGGAAATGCTCATGCATCCAGAAGATGCAAATTAAAACAACTATAAGATATCATTTTTCACCCACAGTGATAACCCAATTAAAAAAAAAAAAAGGAATAGCAAGTACTAGAGAGGATGCAGAGAGATTGAAACTCATACATTGCTGGAGGGGTTATAAATAGGTACAACCATTGTTGAAAGTGATCTGGCAATCCCTAAAACAACTGAGCATAGAAATACCATATGACCCAGCAATGCCTCTGCTGAACACTCCAAAGAAATCAGAGACAGAACACAAACTGGCATGCTCTCCCATATTCATTGGATAAGGTTTTTGGAGGCTTCTTCTGAAGTGGGAAACCTAGTCTGTCTTTGTGGTCTCTTGTGGGGGGAGGTCAGATGCACAGGCATTCCTCCCCTGAGGGCGATCAGTTGCCAGACTGCACTGGGCCTGCTCCCTGCTGCTGGGGTCAATGGACAGGCTCCTGTAGGTGGAGTTTTCACCCTACTGATAATGGTTCCTATGGAGACCCAGAGACCACCCCCTCATGACTGTGCAACCTATGGTGCAACCCCTTCCTGTGACTTACGTCTCTACCTGTAATTAGTGGGCTGGCATGCCCCCAAAAGGTATATAGGCGTGAGTCAGTAAGATAGAGCTCTCGGACCTCTGTCTCTGTCTCCCCTCTTGTGCCCTCTCTCCCTTGTTCCCTTGCCCTCCTTTCTTTCCCCCTCTCTCCACGTGGACCACCAAGCTGGGCTGAGGTGTGCAATGCTACCATGTAATGTGTCTGACTGCATTATTATAATATCTCTCATGCTCTCGATGACTTTAATATAATACTTATATATCTCAACCATACAATTGTTCTTACTGAACCCGGAAGTAGTAGCAGCAGGTGGGGGCTGGCCCCACACTCACCTCCTCACAATTTAACTTAACACTACAGTCTCTTCTTAGTCTGAAAGCTCCTCTGAAACCTGTCCACTTTGAGCGACCCTGTTGACATTGAAATATCAGTGACATAGCTCCCAGCATCAAAGCAACATAAGCCACCGCAGTACCACAAACTGATAGTCACGTGGTGACAAGATTTTGTCTCACGTACTTTGAACATATTGTCAGGAGAGACCAGTCCCTGGAGAAGGACAGCATGTTTGGTAAAGTGGAGGGGCAGGGAAAAAGGAAGGTACTCAAGGAGATGGAGTGATGCAGTGGCTGTGTCAATGGGCTCAGGCATAGGAACAATTGTGAGGAGGGCACAGGATCTTGCAGTGTTTCATTCTGTTGTGCATAGAGTCGCTGTGGGTCAGAGCTGACTGGACTGTACCTCACAACAACAGCAAAATGTTCAATGTAGCACAGTTCACAACAGAAAGAAGCTGGAAACAGCCCAAATGCCCATCTATAAAGAATAGAAAAATAAACTGGTACACACACACACAATGGATTACCATGCCTCTAAAAACAATGAAACCATGAAGCACCTCATAACAAAAGTTGTTCAAGGGTGGTATAAGGTATACATGGGCAAGAGAAGCAAACAGATAAGTGTACTTTATCTGTGTCTGGGAAGAGTCAAGCGTCTGTGAAAACAAGTGTCTAAGCATGTATGGGAAGCAGGTGTGCTGTGGAGAAAAGTTCTTCCTGGAATACTGTGTTTTGAGGCGCTTCTCTTACCCCAGACTGTGAAGACAACATGCCTCACACTGGGGATGGTGTGCCAAGCCCTGTGGTCACGAGTGCTGGGAGTAGACCAGGTGTACTTTCTTTCAGGTGCTCAGTTTCCCACAGTTATTCTTGTTATTTTTGTTTATTTATGTTTCTCTGTATATGAAATGCAGGATAGGTAAATCTACAAAGACGGTAACTGGATTAATAGTTCCTTGGGGTGTGGCAGGAGAAGTTGGGAAAAATAGCTAATAAAGATGAGTACAACAATGAAGAAAATGGTTAAACGTTGATTATGGTAATCATGGTATATCTCTTGGTGTCATTGAACTCTTGAATTGTATATTTGAATTATATGCCAATAAAAGTGTTGAAATATAAAAACAAAAAGAAGCAACAACAAAAAAGTTGCCAATTATCCAAAAATATCTTATTCTGGTTGGATTTCTTTTCAAGCTAGAATGCAAACTTTTATAATTTTGTTTCTTTAA